TGCGTTGCTTAACATACGTCACGCACTCCGTTGCTCTCATTGGTTGTAGGTCTATCCAATTGAGTGCAGAGGCATTTTCTTCCCTAGTTCGTTCGAAACACGCCCCATAATCACAGCTCTATGGAGCAGTATCACTCATATTCTGACTAGAATTGAGTCGGACTACGTCAGGCTAGGCATTGAAGCCAAGAGCTATAAATGCACTGCAAAGACATAAAAGTGTGGCAAACACCAAAAGCTCTTGTGACAGATATGAGGCCATAAAACACAATATTTACTCTGACACACACTTGCAAAGTAGAAAGGCTAAGAGCAAACGTGCTGCAAACACACAAAAAGAGCAGCAAAAAGAAGAGCTTAGACCACTAGAGTGAGATGATCAATAACTCATATAAGACCCGACCATTGAGACACTGAACATTTCAGCTCTTAGCTTCGGTTCCTTCAGTATTCATTGGGTCTGGCTACAGGTTTGACTCTCTGAGCCTCCAGTTTATGTCCTTACTAAGGGTCTGATCCAATATGACTTGACGATCATCTCCCCTTGTGGTCTGGTGCACTACTTATGCTAAGATAGTTCACAGATTGTTTTTCATCTTGATCTATTTTTTGCTATTTGCAGCCTTGATCCTTTGTACGCTCTTACTGTGTTTTCATCATTTAGGTCTTTGCAAGCTTTGTGTTTACATTGTATCGAATAATCTATTGTCTCCATTTTTTCTGATTGTATTTCTCTTTAGTGTGTTGGTCTATTTCTTTTTCGCTAATCTCTCTTTTGCTTTTGAAAGCCTACGTTTTTGTTTGTAGTAATTGTTGTATTTGTAGCCTGGCAACCATATTTTTGTCTCCAATATTAAGCCTTGTTTTTTTTTCCATTAAAAAGACTGCAGCACCAGAATGGAAGAAAGTAAGAAGAATGGCTCCTTTTCCCTCCATTAAAGACATTTCATCCATGCATGTCCCGAGCCCGTAACATTATTAATGACCCCCTCAACCCCAGCAGAAAATAAAATGAATAAATCCCAGTCTAAACCCATGGAGAAGAAAATACAAAACCTTAAAGACTCTACTACTTCAAATATTCTTAGCAAAGGCAACAGCAAGGGTCTTTAGAGTGTTGTGCCATATGCCATGATCATGGTTTTTGGACATTGGGAAGCAGTGTCTATTTTTCATCTTGACATGATGGCCAGAGACGAGGCGGCTTTGGTGAATAACAGCTGGGGGACCTCTGCACCCCCCCTCCTCTTTTCAGCGAAGGCCTCCACAGGCAAGTCACATGGCAGCTGACAGAGGTGTGACCAACCACCCCCCTCTGTGTGAGGATAGACAAAATCAATTCTCTTTGCCTTTTCTCCCTTGCCCATGAGGCTGGGGTCCGCTTTGGCCCGGATCTCCATTCTGGTGGAGAACCAAGGTCTAGGGGGGACCCAGATCTCCAGAATCATCAAGGATGGGTCATTGAGGTAACCTTTCAGAACCAAACTACTGAAAAACAGACCTTTTGCAACACATTTCTCTCGAGTTTCAGAACTTATAGAGCCAGACTGTAGAGAGGGACGGCCTTAATGAGCCACTGAGACAAAGAGAGCCTGGCCTGATAACAGAGCTGCAGCTGGATAAAACTCAATGGACAAAAAATATTTGCAGGTCTGACATGATTAGGGACAAACATGTGTTTACTGATGAGTAAAGACAACACTAACAGAATGGACTGCATGCTACGCTATGCTACAGTAATATGTTTTGAGCTGTTGCTGAAGCTTGGACAAGCTTTATTTCACTAAGGGTTTAAACACTGATATAACATTAGTGTTTATGTGTTCCTCAAATGCTCATTATATTTCCATTGCCAAGTCTGACCAAGAGTCATTTAGTGGAAGCCTGATGTCTATTCGCTGCTAGCTATTTTAAGGAAGGTAAAGAATCACTTAGCTAAAGGTCATTGGATGTTGATTAAAAAAAAAATGTTTAGTTTTAAAACATTATTTGGCCAAATAATGTTTTA